TGCGTGTCGCGCTGTTCCCCTCCCGTCCGACGGTGATTCCACCGCTGGTGGGGACAGGCCGGAACAGTACTACGGGACTGCCGCGGGGAGGGAGGGGGGGGGGGGGGGCACAAACCGCACCGCCCCTGGGAGGGATGAAGCAGGAGGCGATGTGTTCGGCCGGCATACCGGCCGTCAGCTGCCCTCGAGCTTCACTGACCATAGGCTGACTTACTGCGCACTCCTCAACGGTGGACTCGACGATGTCCGCGAAGCAATGCCGTCGCGAGAGAAGGCCAGGATGTCGTAATCGCTGACGTCATGTCCCAGTTCCAATTCTGCCAGCGGATGTGGTTCCGCAAATTATTCACTGTGCTCGTGCTCGCAGTTGGAGGAAGGGCGCAGCTGGCGGGATTCAATCCTCACGGCAACCGTTTTGGCCCGGCCGCCGCCGTTCTGAAGTGGGATTTAAACATGGCCTGCACGCGACAGGCTCTGAACAGGCCACGCTCTGCGTAGAATACTCTATTTGGCTGCTGCTCCCGCCAAAAGCATCGACGTTCTGCGCGCCCACTGGCAGCAGCGGGGCGTCGTGCTGGCAGGGGCGCGACATGTGGGGGGTCCAGGGAGACCGGCCACCCCACCCCTCTTAGGTGTGGATTTTTGTGTTTGTCACCATAGATGGTTCCCGACAGAGAGTTAAGCAACGGTGCGATGCTTGCCCATCAAGCTCTGTGTCCCTCCCTTAAGAAAATCCTGGCTGCGTCCCTGCGTGCTGGCAACGCACGCGGCGGAGCGGCCTTAGCGGCCTGAGTGATGACGGCCCTTTGGCGCTGTTCAGTGCGTGCTGGCGATATAGGATCTGTGGACTGCGGCAGAATGGAAACATTAGAGCGCTCAAAGGGCCAGACGCTGTCGGGCCGCCGGTGGGCCCTTATAGCCACCGCCGGAGCGGAACACACCGGAAGGAGACGGACCGCCCGGCCACTGGTGCGGGGAGGCCCGAGCCGGACGACTAGCCGTGAAAACGGCAACGTGCGTGGTCCGACCAGCCACCCGACCAGCCCACACATGCAGGCTGACAGCCAAAACGAGCTCGCGCGCCGGCATTGTCACTGATATGTTTTTGCGGAGGAACGTTGGCAGGACACTCGTGTGTAATTGTGTGCTGGGAGGAATCATTCTCGTTACGTCTCGGCTCGTCTCAAAATCACCAGTCGGATACTATATGTTCAGCGACGCGTTGTGTTTGTTAGTTTCTGACACGGGTTGCGAGTGACCGTTAAGGGAGTTAAGTTTCCGGCGGGGTGCGAATTCTGGTCTTTGTGCAAAGCTCTGAGTGTCTAGATGACAGACAGAAATGCATCCAAGCCGTCCGGTAGATACTGTGTTACCTTAACAGTACACGTATTTCCATAAGTGCGCAATGTAAGGTTGTACGTTTCCTATCATATCAAATGTATTGGTTTCATATGTCGAAACTGAAAAGTGTGTGTGGATGTGTTTGGTAAGAAGGCCATCCGTATGTGCCTGCCACCACCATTTCACTGTTGTTTCAAAGCCTACCTGTTATATTTTACAATTGGATGGCCCGCTTTTTTAGTTAAATGAAAATTGATTTAACATGGTTATCAGAAAACTAGCTTGTGTTGTTTTAAAATGGAGCCGTTGAGATTTCCAGGTGTCCTGAGTCACTCTGCTTCGGAATCAAGGCCATTAAAAATCTGGAGCGCCATGTCCTGCCGAGTTGAATAATGCAAATAATACAATTTATTAAAATTCTGTCAGTCATAATGGCAAGACTGCATCTTTAAAACCGAAAAGCAAACAACTGGTGCCCATAGATTGCGCTCCTTTCAACCAAACGTAGAAACAAGCACATGAGGCCAAACTGCAGTTGCCACTCGAGGGGCAAATAGGCGCAAAACAAGTGATAAGCCTACCGGCCGCTGTAGCGCGCAAGCCTTTCATCTAACGAGCCTCAATTAAGAGTGATGCTAAAGTTCCTTCCTTTCTCACACAATCTCTTTGGTCCGGAGCCTCTTTGGATTTATAACTACTCAAAATCGTCTCCTTGCTGAGGATCACAAAAGGGTGCGTTGCATCTACCCGTCGGTACGAGCCATGGGCTGGGTGACCACTTCACTCAATTTCACACAATTACCAATAATGGGTGCCTCAAAGTATATTGGTTCACACTGTCAATGCGCAGCATTGATATGGCACGAGACAAAATCAAGCAAATAAGTCGTAAGCTATTCAAGTTCTCACGTGACGCTTAGAACGTCGGGCGGATATCTGATTGATGCTGTTACATCGAGTCATTTGTGTATTTACAACTGTTTAGGCTAAATGGTTTGGACTGGTTTGTTGGGTTGCAGCGTTTATTAGAGTACATGATTGTTTTGTGTGAGGATTCAATTTACGGTTTCCGTCGCTTTTGTCAAGAGCGCACTTTTCCAAGCTTGTTTTAAGCCATCCGCAGTGAACATTTTACCCTCGTTTCATTTGTGCATCGTGTACAAGGACGCATCCGTTAAACTGATCATCCGAATTTAGCCCTTGGTGCAACACAACGCTGGAAAATGCTGAGAATTTCGACCATCATACTATGATAAGAGATCTTTTATCTTCTTATACGACTGATGCGAAAAAACGCCAAGTAAAATCAACGCTTTATGTAGCCACTTGTCCAAAAGACATATCGTCCAACTGTGCTACAAAAGAAATTGGGCACGATGCACTGACCTCACTCCATCCGTGAACACAACGTTTCGCTGTTCCTCAGGGGTTTGAAAATAATGGAAAAGAAACAGCCCTCTGCTCCGTCCTACCCACGTCTAGTTTACCCATTCTTTTTAGCTTGTAAGTGTTAGTTAATTGTAATTATTTAACAGGGAGGCGTGATGCCTAAAAAACATTTGCATGTTTTTTATTCTTCTCAAAGGATTTAATGCAGCACATTCAACAACCTGTCGGCCATTCAAGGTCTGAAATGAAAACCACCGCATTTTGTGTTATGCCGGTTTATTGCTTCTTCGTGTTTGCCTTGCTGCATGCCATACTGTCCGAAAAAACACTACAGCGAAAAAAGTTGTCATTGTTTTGACCTCTTCCAAATTCCTAAATTTCCGACGCCACCTGAACCAATACAGCCATGTGCTGCAGTCCGACCTCGAACGCTGCAGTCAACACCAGCGTCGCCCGTATTTTCTGTCGACGCCCTCTCCTTACAACGCTGAAGTGTGCGTAACGACTGGCGCTCCAAGCCGCGCCGCGCCACCGCCCCTCCCCCCGGTAAACCAAGTGCGACTGTCGTGCCGTCGTCCGGAAGGGAGGGGGAGGGGTAGGGGCTAAGAGGTCCTGATGGGCCGGTGGCATGCAGCAGGGAGAGCGATTAGCCCCCACCCCAGCGCCGGTCACTAATCGCCCCCTTGCCGTCCTCCGCAGGGAGTTCCTCTGCCAGAACTGGATGAAACCAGAGAAGATGCAGAAGGCTCCACACATCGTCATGATCACCAGACGCTTCAATGAGGTACACGTGAGGGAGTGAAAGCTATGTAATATTCTTCTATGCGTGGACACAGAGACAGAGACAGAGACAGAGACAGAGACAGAGACAGAGACAGAGACAG